TAAGCCAAAGAATAAGAGGACACTGGTAAAACCACTGCTTGGGAAATAAATGAACAGCCTATGTGAATTCCTTGAAACTGTGATCTATATCCTCAAGAAAGAAATGAGAGTTTGTGATGTTCCTTCTCACCTCTATTTGCCATCAGCTTTTAGAATTATTGGATGTGGATACTGTAAACATGTTTAGATTTGAGATATAATTCTTATTGCTATTCCTATTGCTAACACGACTAGTCAAGGAACACACACCAATAAGCCTTGAGTTATGATGGCTAATGGGACTGGAAATTCCATCCCTAAACAGTGCAATTGTAAAATGCAAGTCACATGACCACATTACTTTGCAACAACAGATGCAATTGATATTGTAAACCGTCCCTCCCCCAGGACTTCACTGGTTGTTAAGCTGGAAGAGGTGGGAATCCTAGTCAAGGACTGCAGGAGTTGCATAAGTACCATGGTGTATGTGTGCCGTGAACAGGCACCAAGTACTACAAGGGATGTACTGATGCCATAGCCAGCAGATGCTACAGATTACAAGCAGATGGTCAGTGGGACTGTGGGCAGGAGGTGCTGCAGGCATGGATGGAGTGGAGTACGAGATCCCTGGGATCTAATTTTCCGTAATGGAGATCCTCAAAGAAAAACATTGGGGATGACTTATACAAATAACTCACAACCTTCTGTGCTGGCTTTGCTTGTGGGAAGCCAAGGAAGGTCACAACTGGCAATCAAGTGACTGAGAGATTGTCATTGTAAGCTAATTGTCAAGTGCCCAAAACACATTCACTTATGTAAAGAGCTGCTGCAACGAATATATCTTCAGGACCCATCCTAAGTATCACTAATTCAATGTCATTGTAGCTTGAACAATCTCTGAATGAATGGTCGTAACCTTAGCACTACCTATATAATTTTTTTCACAATCATCTATGGTTATCTGTTTTGTTTCTCAAAGTATTAGTTTTAAAAGCATGTTGTTTTTATTTGAATACTTTAGTCTCTTGCTAAAGATATCAATGAAATGACAGAAAAAATGGATAAAAGCAAGGATTTATTTTCCCATGTGTTTCCTGAGAATGCTGATAACCGAGATGTTATAGGAGACACTTTGGACAGTTTGTTACAGAGATTAACATTACTAGATACACTAGTAAATCAAAGATGCCAGCATATGAAAGAGAGACTTCAGCAGATACTGAATTTTCAGGTAAATTTTGTCTTATTTCTTAAGAATTTCTACCGTACATACTGTTAAAGGTTGAAAAGTGGGTAATGTAATTATATTTCTCTGAACCAGTTTAGTATAGTGGTTAAGGCATCAGGCTAGAAATGAAGAGATTATTAGTTCTAGTCCCACTTTGGGTATAAAAACAGTCAGATGATTTGGAATCAATAACTCTCTAACAAAGCACCTCCAAGAAAATCTTGCCCAAAAAAACCTTCATCAGGAGTCAATACTGATTCAAAAGTGCACAGAGCCACACAAAATATATTTCTATAGATTCTTTCTTGCTATCAGAAGCTTATGTAAAAATATAATAGTAAAAAGACTCAGTTGATGCTTGTAGCATGTTAATTGCTATGTCTGCAATATGTTCAGTCTCTAAATAATATAGTATTTAGATTGGGCTCAGTACAAAAGTTACTCCCAAAAGTTTTTTTTTTTAAAAAAGCAACTGCATTTTGTTTTTCAAAGTCCAGCTGCCTTTTGAAAAGAGCACCTTTGGGACAATCATCACCTGGATGACTGAGAATCTCCAGAGGTACAAAGGTTACTAATTTTACCAAAACATATTAAAATGTAAATGATCAAATAAATAGAGATCCCAAAAATTGCAGGATTATTTTATCAACAACCCCAGACAAAACTCCAAAGTAATCTGATAGCCCTTGCATTGACACAGTGTGAATTGCATTTGCAAAGACATGCTAAATACCAAAGCAATAATAGCCACATTGTTTTAAAAGTTAAACCAATATTAAGCAGCTAGCTGTTTGGTAAATGAAAACCATTTCTGCAAACTTTGCCAAGAAAATTGTAGGGATTTGTCCAGGCAGCCATCAGAAGTCAAAAACTGACCGAAAGGGGCACATACATCCAAAAGTGGCTTTTTGTATACAAATTAAGATCTTAGCAGTAGTTCATGAAGTAATTCACCAAATGAAAGAATAGCCTCCCATTTAATGTCATCTTTAAAGAAGGATGGCTGATGCCAGGAAACTAGTTCAGTTCATTATATACAGATAACTAAAGATGGCAAGCACTATCAGCACAGGTTGTTGATAGTATAGCCAATGTACAGTACAAGTTGATGGTGCTAGTCACTCAGTAACTGTACAGAAATTGGGAGTTCTTCTGGCTTATTACAGTCTCTTCTGAAGATTTGAGTCAATCTCAAAAGTTTTATCTGCAAACTGCCTGTTATCACAAGCCACAAGGGAAAATGTTGCACAATGGAAAACTTGGACAATAATGACAATAACGTTCTGTTATTTCCATATATTAACTTTTTTTTTCAATTACTGACAGAATGACTTGAAGTTGATGTTTACTTTATTAGCTGATAACAAGTATATTGCACTGCAGAAACTAGCAGAAGCAGTTGAACGCCCTGAAACAGAACAAATACAGGTACTATTGATTGAATATTTTTATATTCTTAAGGATGAAGAAAGATATGGTATAATGAACACCAAAAAGTTACTTAGAAGATTGATACTATCTTCTACTATCAGACTGCAAACAGTGCACATCAGTATTTATTCTAATGAATAAATAATGCCTGGAATACTTTTTGTATGGGAATAAATAGATATGCCTTTGAAAAAGAATTCTGCTTGGCAACGTTATAAATTTCAACAATAATTTACTTTTCTTACATTTTGTCAGATTATCTGTACAATAGGAGTTTATGTTTCTTAACCTGACCGAGCAGCTCTACAGCAGAAAGTATATATAAAATTAACAGTGAATTTTTAGAACTTCAATTTTACTTGACAAATTAGAGAAACATTTAAATGTCAACCAGAATAATGAACATGCTCATGAAGAACCCAAAATATTCTTTGTGCCTAATAACCCATGGATTATTAATCATTTTTGAGCCTTTCTTTTTCTTTGATGAATGGCATACAATCAGAATTGTAGTGTAGTTTCATATCGTATCATGTATCATACATATCATATATCTCATTTCATATTCTTATAAGTATTTTTCATCGAGAGACTTGTTTGATTTTAACATTTAATCAGACTACCATTTGGAATGTTGCCTATTCTTAGGTTTATCTGTAAACCTAAGCTGTAAAGCGGTATATAAGTCTAAGTGCTATTGCTATTGCTATCTCATATAAGTACTGAATTTCCATTTTTGACATCAGAGTTCCTTGAAATTTAGGTTTCTTGACATTACAGTGAATTGTTATTCTTTACATAGGCCATTGAGCAAGTAGAACGAGGACTGAAAGAATTAGATGCAGGTATCACTGAATTAAAGAAACGTGGAGATAAACTGCAAATTGATCAATCTTTCATGCAAGAATTATCCAAACTTCAGGTAATAAAACTATTAGAAACAACTTTTTACAATTATCAGCATAGCGTTTGTTTTCCTTTTTTGCTGATGAACTATTTATTATTTATTTCTATTTATAGACAAATTCATTTTATATGAAACAGATGTAAAATAACTTCAGAAGATTGCAAAAATCATTGCATTTACTTCATTTGTCAACTGACATCCAAAAATAAAATTTTGCTGGAAATGTAATGATCATAAAGAGTTAACGTAGCTCATATAGCTCCCTTATCCTGATTGCCATTACTGGTCCTAAGTAATTGAACTTCTATTCTGATTTTTTTGTTCTATAATTATAATGTAATTCTTTTTCTTTTTGTGTATCAGGATATGTATGATGAGTTAATCATGATCATAGGATCACGGCGCTGTGGATTAAACCAAAATCTGGCATTGAAGGGTCAGTACGACCAAGCTTTGCAGGATCTGGCTGACCTGATTGAAACTGGGAAAGAAAAGATGGCAGGTGATCACAAACTGATAGTTGACTCCAAAAAGGAAATCCAACAGCTTCTTGACAAGCATAAGGTGAAAACAATTCCTATGTTTATAATTAATTTTGCTGCCATTTAATAGAGTCCCTTTCTGTAATTCTACTGTTTCCCAATCTGGAAAGAGAGTAGTTATTTCAATGTAACTAAATGCCATTTGGAATAATTTTAAAGCTAATGATGGCTAAAAGAAATTTTATTTATGTATGCAAATATTTACCTCAAAAGACTCATATAATAAATGACTCTTGTACAATAATAAATGAGATGATAAATTCAGAGGTGATGAAAATAACTGTCAGAATGCCAAACTATGGAAAACAGACTACTAAGAACTGCCTTAGTAGTTTGCTTTTCACAGTTTGGCATTTTTTCAATTATTGCTTAATAAAACCTATCAGAATAAAATGCTTTTGACTGCAAAAAGCAAACAAGGTAGTGGTTCCATGTACCTCAAGGTGACAAAATATTCCCTGGTTCGGGTTGTTACATGAGGTAGAGATTCTCAGCAGCCATTCTCAAGACAGGACAGGCTAAATCATGTAGAATTGTATACATTAAAACCAGTCACCTTGGATTTGACTCAGAAACCTATTTGTTTGTTCAGTACAATTTAGAGTCGACCAAGATCCAAATATCAACTGTACTTTTAAAAAAATAATAAGAGAGATCCAGAAGGCAAATTCTCTATGGCAAACAAAGCTTCCTGTAGGGACTCAATCCCCACTCTGTCCCAATACTTGGGAAAACAGTCAAATTTCAATGGCTTTATGAATGTGATCAAGGTGGGAGTCTTACAAATCTCTCAGCAATCATTGCTATAACTGAAAGACAGTTGTAATTCTATTAAATTTAATCATCTGTTTCTAATGAAGCCACTACATTTTGTTTCAGTTGTACCTTCTGAGTTGTTTTAAAAGGTAGCTCCATATAAAGTGAATTGGAATAATCTAAATGCAAGGTGATTAAGGCTTGAGTCATAATGGAATAGATTCCCCCCACCCTCCATAAGGAGCAGACATGTTTTGACAGTACAGTAACCAGAATGTATAAGCATACTTCAAATACTTATGTTTCAAAATTGTGTTTTTATCTTGGGTGTATTTGCATAAACTGCTATTTTGTTTTGTGATGCAAAATTAGTTTAAATGCAAAATGACACTATTTAAAAATATCAAAGATAACCTGCAGTTGAAACAAAACAAACACTCTGATTCCTAGTATGCATGTGAGGAAGGAATGTTAATTCAATCTTCTCTGAAAGATAGAAAGTTTTTTTAGCTAAGCAAGATGCATATTTTGAATAGATTCTGCAGCACAATCTGTTCCATTGCTGAGAATATAAATAAGACACAAACTATGAGGACATCAGAAAATTTACATTTTAGATTGTTTGTACAACAGCAGTAAATTTCTGAAATATGATGGTTAATAACAAATGATAATTTTCTCAGGAATATTTCCAAGGACTAGAGGCACACACGATCCTAACAGAAACGCTTTTTAGAAAAATAAGCAGCTTTGCTCTTGTGAAGGAAACTGAAATCCATGTAGATCTAATGGCACAAGGCTCTGCAGTATTAAAACAAGCTCATAAGAAAGGAGTGGAGCTGGAATATATTCTAGAGGTAAAGTTTTCTTTTTTCTTTTCCTTTAAATTTTAACTTTTCATTACGTTTGCCTGGGGCATAAAAAATTCTTAAGAAAAGTGATAACATTTGAGGAGAGGTACAATTTGTCTCCTGAAAAGATTAAATCAAAAGTTCAGAATCATTTGAGCAACCGCAAAATCATTTTGCCACCTGGGCAGTATGGAAATTTTATAACTTCATTTTCAACCCATTTTTATATCAATTGTTATATTAATTTATTGGGGGGGGGTCTCAAAAATTGGTAGCAATTTTTGTATATACTTCTGTAGTACAGGTGATCCTTGATTTATTACCACAACTGAGCCAACAATTTCTGTTGCTAAGCAAGGCATGTTGAGCAAAGCAGCTGTTAGGTGAATTTTGCCAAATTTTACAATCTTTCTTTCTACAATCTAAATACATACCAGTTGTCGAGCATCCAAATTTTGTTTATGTAACCACAGGGATGCTGCAATGGTCCTAAATGTGAAAAAATGCCCATAAATCATTGAATGGTCACTAAATGAATGGTTGTAAATCGAGGACGAAATTTATACACATTCTTGTATCCAATTTTCTAAAAAAAAATATGCAATGAATATTCCCTAATCTTCAGTTCAGTTCAGTTCAGTTTATTGTATTTGTATGCCGCCCTTTTCCACCGAAGGGGGACTCAGGGCGGCTCACAACTCGAACCGGGGAAGGGGGATACAGACAAAAAAATTTTTAAAAAATAAACATAACAATATATAATTTAAAGCTCACAACAGTCATATCATT